CCAATGCCCTTGGTTCCTTCCTTTTTCTGCATGTTCATGAGGTGCACATGGTCCCTTTTTGTCATGCAAAAAAATTTACATTCCATGTAAATCAATTTACATGAAATGTAAATCACATTTACATGAAATGTAAATTGATTTACATGAAATGTAAATAAAATTTACATTTACATCTACAGTAAAATTTACTGTAAATTTTTACTGTAAAGTGTAAATTTTACTGTAAATTTCGGGAAATGTAAATTTACCAAATCTGCAGACTCAGGGCTCGACATACGATGCCCAAGGAGGACGACACGATGTCATCTCGGCTGTGGACCTGTCCTCTACTTTCCACTTGTGTGCCGTCGTGGATGGGCACAACGCTGAGGCTTTGGAGAGTGCTTTTGTTTCGCTTTGGGTGAACATTTTCGGTGCTCCACAGACCCTCGCAGTGGATTTGGAGACTGGGTTGCAGGCGGCCTTCGGGAACATTGCCATATGGTTCGGAACGAAGATCCGACCCAGTGCTGGGCAAGCGCACTGGCAACAGGGGATCACCGAGAGACATGGTGGCGTGTGGAAAGAGATGTTTGCCAAGGTCTGCGACGAACACTCTGCCGAGGCCTCTGAAATCCCACTGTGCGTGGCGGCGGTCAACTCCGCTAAAAATCAGTTGAGACGAGTGGGTGGATATTCTCCATCACAAATCGTTTGGGGGCGAGATCCCGCCACCCCCGGTGAGCTTTTGGGCCAGGGCAACCCCGAGCAGGAAGAGCATCTCCTTAGCCATGATCGAGCTCGGGCACGTGAACATACTCTCCGGCGCGCGGCGAAAGCCGCGTTCTTTCGCTGTCAAAGTGATCAGAGGTTGCGGAGAGCTTTGCTTCAAAGGAGTCGTGTAGCCCCTGGCACTCTGAGTGTCGGCGATGTCGTCTACTTTCTCCGGAAGCCGAGGAACTCCAAGGATTGGGTTTGGAAAGGGCCAGGCACGGTGATAGGCAATGAGGGGCCCAACAGCTGGATTTCCTTCGCCGGCCGGTGCCATCTCTGTGCAGCTGAGCACATAAGGCTTGCCACCGGCGAGGAGCTTGGGGAAGCTTTCACCCTTCGCAGCACCAGAGACGACTTGATGAGGTTGGTGGAAGGCGACCCTGATGATCCTGGACACTACATCGGCCAGCACCTCGAGGGCAAGAGTGGCGATGATCCAGGGGAAGGAGCCTGAACTACTTCCAGGTGATTTCTTCGTCAATGTCGATGGCGCCTCGCCCTCCCGGACTATATGAGCGACACCTACCGGCTCACAGACACGGAGGAGGAGAAGGGCGAAGGGCAAGCGAAGCGACCGGTTGCCAAACGCCACCGGACAAAAGGGCCTCCTTCCCGGGCCTTGTGCACCGAGACCCACGAGGCATTCATGCTGAAGCGGCCCACCACTGAGCGCGGGCTCAAGCAATTGGAGATCCCGTGGTCCAGCATACCAGAAAGCGAACGACCAGCTTTCAGGAAGGCTGAGAGCCTTCAATGGAGAGAGCACCTCCAGCACGAGGCATTGGAGCCGGTGGGAATCGAAGAATCACGTGAGATACTTGGAACGAGGCCGGAAAGAGTGTTGCCGTCCCGATTTGCTTATAGGGATAAGGCGTTTGCGAAGAGGAAGCTGAATCCCTCCACCCCGTGGCGACATAAGAGCAGACTCGTGGGGGAGGACATCTCGATCCTGATATCACCACCGGCAACCTCTCCACGAGTGCACCGACAGTGTCTCGAGCTGGAATCTTGTCTTTGCTGCAACTGTGCGCTACAAGGCGAGCTGCTGCTGATTGGACGGCCTCGGCCGGTGATATTACGGCCGCCTTTTTAAATGGGGAGCCGCTAAGGAGGGAGTTATTCATCCGACAACCCCGCGGGGGGTTGGATGATTTGCACCCAAGTCAAATAGTCCGTATCAAAAAGGGGGTATTTGGGTTAGTGGGTTCGCCAAATGGTTGGCGGCATAGAGCTGGTGCCCGACTTCGGCGATGAGAAGAAGATCAAAATCACCCAATGTCCCCTCGACCCATGTATCTTTCAGGTCCACAATGTCGGTGAGGATGATCAGCTCGAGGCACCGCGAGTTTACCTCGCAGTGCATGTGGACGACATCCTCTGCGTGGGTCAGCGAAAGGACTTGTTGGCTGCGCAAGACGCCTTGTCCGCAGTTTTCCCCGTCGATGATTGGATCCTCGACTCCTTCGAGTATGTGGGAAGCCAAGCGCATGTCCTGGAAGATGAGGTTCAGATCTCCCAGGAAGGATATGCAGCCAGCCGGCTCTTCGAGGTGGACATCGCCAAGGACCGGGCCGAGGACGAGATGGCCCGCCCGGACCAGATTGCTGATCATCGCAGCCTTGCGGGAGCTCTTTCATGGCTGGCCGGCCAGTCTCGGCCGGACTTGCAGCGCGGTGTCTCCATGATGGCCCAGCAGGTGCAGAAGTCCCCCTCCGTCCGGTATCTGAAGTTCACGAATCAGCTCGCTAAACGGGCCCTGGAACACCAAGAAAAGGGAGTTCGACTCCGACCTGTTCCCCTCGAAGATGCTGTGGTCCTCTGTTTTCATGATGCCGGATGGAGCAACGCGCCCCAGAACCATGAGGACCCCTACTATCAGTTGTATCCTGAAGATGAAGATAACGGCAAGATTGATGTGGGCCCTTTCGCCCATAGACCCAAGAAGTCCAAGAAGGGTGCTACGAGCATAGCCTCCCAACTTGGGGTTGTCTTTCTCATGGCGCACAAGGATGTACTCCACGGAGCAGCTGCTCGCACGAGCCTCCTTGACTGGAAGAGTCTCTCCTGCCCGAGAGTATGCCGAAGCACCTTCGCAGCAGAGACGATGGCTTGCGCCCATGGACTGGAAGGTGGAGAATATCTTTGCTCGCTGTTGGAGACTCTGATGGCTGGAAGACTTGTCCGTCCTCAACAAGCCCGCACTAAGGTCCACCTTCTGACGGACTGCCGAAGCCTCTTCGACCATCTGAACAGAAAAGGCATTCCCCGTGCTCCGGCTGACCGCCGCTTGGCGATCGACTTGGCGGCGATCCGAGAAGTGTTGCCCGGGATCTCCGAACTTTCCTGGGTCCCCACGAAGGAGCAGATTGCGGACCTGCTCACCAAGCCGAGGCGAGCTCACGAATGGTGGCAAGCACTTCTGAAGCCTCTGAGGCTGCCTTTTACACTTTCCAAGAAAGAGAATCTTTAATCAGTGTAAATCTGTGGAGATGTCCTTTGGAGGATCAGTTGCCTTTTGAGCAGTTCACTGCACTCTGAGACCTGTAACGTCTAAGGAGACTTGCGCAGGCAATTCACTGCATTCTGAGACCTGTAATGCTGCAGGCACATGTGTATCAAGCTTTGTCAGAGAAAACGGCAGGTTCGCCCCTTTGTGTTTGAAATTTAGGGCTTATAAGGGTTTAGGGGTTTAGGGTTTATAAGGGTTTATAGGGTTTAAGGTTTAGGGGTTTAGGGTTTAGGGTAAACTTGAAACTTGAAACATATCTCCTGTATCAAAGTCACTTCTGTCCTGCAGAAGCTGACAGAATTCCAGAAGCAGCATCAGAAACAGAGTCGTCATAAATCGGCTCCACCGCCAGAAGCCATCTTGAAGATGCACTGGCTTCCCAGCTGTGAAGTTTACGAGTCCCAACGCAGAGTGGTCAAGTGCGGCTTGCTTGATCATCAGCTTAAGGGCGAATTAATCGCTCTGAGGCCCTGCTTAGCAAATGGCTGCTCTGTGATGAACAACCGCCAGCAACCAAAGCTTTGCAAACTCGGCTTAATGACGGCACGCTTCAAACATTCTTTTGCAAGAGAGAGGGGGAGTCGTCCAGCAGTGCCTGCACGGCGAACGCTGCGGACTTTTTGTCCTAGTCAAGGAAATGCAAAAAAAATTGGAAACCTTAGCATGTGGAAGCTACCTCGCAGAATATGCTGGTGAAGCCTTCAGTGCAAGAGCAGCTGAGTTTGCCTAGCTGGTGGCAGTACATAGGGCCTAACAAAGTTCTTTGTTTGCACTAACAACGGCGAACGGCAGCTTCAAAAAGAAAATGTGTGATCCATTAAACAAATTCAAGTTTTCATCTCTTTATATGTGACATGCAGCAGGGGCTTGAAAGTGGCGACAGATGAGGATGGCGGCTTTGAGGTACCAAAAACAACGGCAGTTACCAGGATGGCAACCCCCAAAACCTCTATCCCTGTAACATGCAGACCAAAAAACATGAATTTTAAGAAAACGCTATTTTCCTGTCATTGATTTCAAAACCAGGAATTGCAAAAAGCAGGGGCTACTTAGGGTCTACTTATTTTGGCCTTAAAAACTACTTATTCCAGTCAAAATAGGCTTATGATAAGTCTACTTTAAGTAACTTATATCTAACTTAAGTTACTACAACTATATTATCTGGAAAGATTGATGTGGTGGGGATCCTTGAAGGTCTGAATTGACCAAGAAACATTCACAAAGTTTCGGTGCATCGTTTTGTAGCTCCAGTAACCCACGTGGAGGGTGCAGGATGGCCCTGGCTGGCCCTGAGGTCTGAGGTCTCGGCAGCAGCATCTGCAAAAACATGGGTGCCAGCAGAGGATACAAAATCTTCACACTCCTTCCGGAGTCGAGCTGAATGCTTCTTCCACTTGCTTGAAGCTAAGACATCCACATCATGATCAGCTGACCTTCGCAGGTGTTGCCTTGCCCAACCGACGGTAGGCTCTTGGTTCAGAGTTGCCATCCGCATGATGACCCCCGGGTTGCCTCGCAAACGCGTTAGGCGGGCCGAACGGCCATTGCCCGATTGCCCGCTCCCGGCCTACAAGCTGCAGGCCAGACCGGACAGGGCGTCCGGCAACAGACATAGCACCCACCACGGCCCCCGGTTCTACCTTTCCGAGGCTTGGACATGCCGTGCATGTCGCCAGATACAAATGGCAAGATGCATACAATCGGGCAGACACCTGCGAATGTGGAAGCAGTACAGCTCCTGCGCCCACAATGGAGCCCTTTCCAACCTGACGGATGCATCTTCTTTATTAGCTATTGCCTGCGTTTGCGGTGCTCTACTGCCTCACATTCCCCCAAGGCTTGGTGGGTCAGCAGCAAGGCCCCCTGCAAAGCAACTCAGAGCAACAACGCGTCCAAAGTTCAACGAATAAAGAATACAAATATTGAAAAAAAAGACAGAAAGGTCCGCATTCTTGGGAAAGCAGAACCGACAACAGTGAAATTCTCTTCGAATTGCTGCCTCGGCCACGTGCAGCTTCCGCGGCTCCAAGGGGGGTTCGGATACGGCCACCTGTTTTTCAACCCGTACTCACACAATGCCCTTTAGCAGCTAAGCCCAGCACAAGAACTCAACAGGCAAGGCTTCTAAGCTTTGAAGCTTAAGCAGCTTTTAGGAGCTTAAATGACATTCAAAATAAGTCCCGTCATGTGCCCAGAGCAGGCCATGGCATGGCAAAGCGAGGACGGTGGTGCCGTGGCACGCAGCGAGACGCGACCACCGAGAAGTCGGAAGTACATCGACAAAGCCTTCAAGCACACTCTCAGAAGTCCGGCATAGTCCGGCTTAATTTAACTTGGCTCAGAGACCCGGGCCCAGGTACCTCCTATCTGCGCCGGGTAGCGTGGGAATGTCAGCCTCTTCCGGAATGGGAAGGTCACTATGGATGTGAGATGATGTGAGAATCTCCAGCCATAAACCGTTGCCGCCATGCAGAGCTGAACTGACCAAGCCTGAGCACCACACGCCTCACCTTGCCGGAACAGCTTGAGACTTAGAGGAACTGGAGTTGCATCATCGCATCAAGCAGTGAAGCGCTGCGAAGCGCCTGAAAAAACCACGAGTTCAAATTCCGAGATCCGCGGATGTACCTGTCCAGCACGGTCAAATCTCGGCTCAGAGAGGTGCTGAGAATTCTGCAGCGTGCTTTTGCTTCTTTGCTTTTGCAGCTTGCGTTCGCTTCTTCCTTGCGCCTGCAAAGCAGCGCCGAGCTGACGGTGAGGGACCAGCCGTAAACCTCGGTGACTGGGACTTTAGAGCAACCACGTTGCCAATTGCAGACCGCGCACCGCGAAGCTGAGCACCACCATGCCTGCGACGCAGTGGGCATCAAACGCGAACATGAAAAAGACCAAAAACTGACGCCGACCACCACGACATGTCGTCAATGCCTGCCAAACGAAGACCCAACTGCCACTGGCCGATGCCCATCGCAGCCGAGACCTGCAGAGTTGTCAAAACTTGCAGCTAATCCCAGAACAGTACAGCTTGCAGTCCCCTAACAGCTAAGAAATTTATCACTTGCTTGCTGCACGTGCCTGGTCTGCCAAGCCTGCCAAGTCAAGACCAAGGAGAACGTCCGCGGAAGCCTTCACAGAGAGAGAGTGAGGGAGACTGCACTTGAGTGCCCGCCGCCCTTCCGTCCACAGTTGTGTTCCTGTCACATCTCAACATCTCATTGCTTTCCCCCCTAGCTGCCAGCTTTAAACCTCAGGCCTGCGAAGTGTCGGGGAATAGATCTGAGATGCAGGCCATCACCGGCGGACCAAAAAGCAGCCACGTGGCTGCGAAGAGGTAGCCCTCCGGCTGCGCCTCAACTCTTCTGACTCACTTGAAGCCGAGTGGCTGAGGGCATCAACGGGCAAAAGCACATTTCACCTGCCATTGCCATGTTTGCTCTCCCAAGCCGAAGCCTTGCACCTGAATAGATTCTGAGCCAGATGCAACGATGGAAAGCCTTGGCCTTGGCCCCTTGGCCTCAGCCAGGAGTCCAAAGGAGCAGTAGGCGCCCAAGCTGCAGGCAGTCCTTGACGCGGATCAGCTCGTTTTCAGAGCAAGGCAAAAACATGCGAGATGCAAGGCATAAGCAAGTAGCTAAGTAGCTGAAGCAAGAGGGTGAGGATCAGGGCAAAGGCGTCAACAAGAAGGTCGTGGCCTCGTCTGTATGCAAGCTGACACGCAATAGCATGCCTTAAGGTGGCATCCCAGTTGCAAAGAAGTCCCACGGGAACTCGGATTGGTTGTTGCCTGGACTGCACCAGCAGTGCGCCTTTCCAGACCTGCGAAGGAAAGAGACGAGAGAAGGTTTTGTGGAAGGAAATGCAGAGAAAGCGAGACAAACCAAAGCGCTGCACCGAGCCATCCGGCAGCGTTCGACCCGTGCGTCCAGACAGCATGGACCTGGGAGCATTCGCACTGCACCGAGCCATGTCAAGATGACACCACGCTCTGCCCACTCTGCTACTCTGACGCTGATGTGAGTTTTGTTTCTCCGACAATTACCGCACGTGCTTGCTGACATTTGCTGCCTGGGGCCGTTCTGATGCACCCCTGACTGGAGGCATTCGGTTTCACGCGGCAACCAGCTGCTCGACTACCGTGACTGCTTGGTTTTCGAGATGCTTTGAAAGGGTTCGAGGCGAACGTGCATTGTAGTGCGGCAGAGCAACTACAGTATTGCCCCGAACGAGGCCGATTGGGTACATGAGGAGTGTAAGCCAGGGGTTGCCTGGAGTTCTTGCGGTGTTTTTGTTTCGGTTTCGGCTGTTGTTCGGGGTCTTTCAGAGCAGACTGGCAGGGTGGTTTGACGTGGGTTACTTCTTTCTATATGATGTCTATATGGCTTGGGAATCACGGGGCATTAAGTTGTCCTTTTCTCTCTTGATGTTTCACGCTTACTTATTCAGACAAGTTGATTGGAGCCTTGTTTCCGTCCAGGACTTCAAAAAGCGCGAAAATCCAATGGTTTTCGGACCAAATGGGTTACAGCCAAAGCTGGTTTGCCACTGATCAGGGGTTGGACCTAAATCCCTGCCCTTGCTCGGTTCAGTCGATGCGCTAAACCAGCTTGATGCCAGTAATAAGAATGGCACGGAAACGTCCAGAAGGCGGCGATTTGCCGGGTGAGGAGATTCAGGGCTACGTGACACGATCCTCGCTTTGCAATCCAAAGACCTCTTGATTGGCAAGCCTGGCTTCGTTGACTTGGCTCGTCCGTGTCAAGGTCAAAGCCAGAGCTCTTCGCGCCACACTGCAGCATTCACACATGGAGCCGGGGAACAGCGCGAACTGTACCGCCGTAGTGAATGAGCTGTGTGAGCTACGAGTTACTGCAACGAATACGTTCAGCACCCATTCACTTAACTGCGGCGTTTGCTCTGCGGCCCATTGCCATGTCTGGGGCCGCGTCAGCGGCTGCAGAGTGACGCCCTCCCCAACCGCGCAGCCCGCAGTGCAAACCTTAAGCGGATGTATACTGATGCAGCGGACTTTGCGCTTCGCGTTGAGGGCAGCTCAAGGGCTCCGGGCAGCATTTTCGCCCACTGCACAGTGGTCACCAAAGGCCAACGGGCGTAGATGAAGCACCCCGGCCTCCAAGGACCCGGTTACACTTCAAACATCTTCAGATCATCTTCATGTGAATTCCGCCTCTCTTTAAACCGGCCTCAGCTGCTGCGGGCCGCAGCTTTGCTCCCTCTGCGACGACACAGCAGCGCCCCAGCGTTATCAAATCAAACCTCGAAGGAACCGTGTGGCTGTTCTTCTTTCAGCCAATCGAGGCAACGCCAAGCGAGGCGTGGGCTCTGAGACGTGGCGCGTGTCGATGCGGCAGTAGCCCGTGGCCCGGAGCCCCAGCCTGCAGTGGCCAAGCAAACCAAGCAAAAGCAAAATAGCGAAAGGGGGATGCAAAGTATGCAAATTGTCTTCGCTTCGCCTTCAGTCCTCAATCCGCTGTAGCCGCTGAGGCTATGACGCTTTGAGGTAAAGAAAGTAGAGAACCCCGCCCCGGAAGGCACCCAAAGACAGTTCGTTCACGAACACCACAAGCCGGTCCTTTCACAAAGCTTCAAACATATGCTTTATTATGCTTTACCGTCCTCCTTGCGCCTGGCTTGGCCCCTGGCCACAGCCCACCACCTCAAGAAGGCCCAGGAGTCGACAGGGAATGCGCCTGACGTGCACCACCTTGCACCAGTCTCCCATCACTCCCATCACCATCCGCCTGCTCGATACTGACCGATGAGCAGCCATTTCGTGCAAATTACCTTTACACGGCCAATGGCTACTACCTGGCGATTAAGCGCAAAAAGAAGCGCTGGCAGCTGGCCAGTGCGACCATTGACAAGAGGTAGAACGGGTAGCCCACAAGCCTCAGGATGAAGACGCGTGGCAACTGGCGGCAGCATTCGGTGCATGTGGACGGGCATATCAGGATCAGGCACCATGAAGGCTAGCGACCATGCAGCTCCTCGGGTCTCTGCCTTGGAGATGGCAAGCGAAATGTTTTCCAATGTTTCCCATTTCCCAGGTACACACCTGAGCCTCGTGAGCCCATGGCCAAGCGACTCGAGAACTTTAATGGAAGCATCGCGGGCCAAATGACGACACCGCTGATCCAAACCTCGCACCAGATGCTCTGCCTGAACTCCTTAAAACATTGCCTGGATGGCCGCAGACCCACACCAAAAGCCGCCAGCACAGAACGGTGAATGAGCGGAGAAGCCCTTTGACAAAAGGCAACGCACATGCACATGCACACAGCACACAGATGCACACTGTTGAGCACGTGTGCACTGCACGGGCCTACGCAGCCCTTCCGACCAAGATCGCATCTGCCTGACTCAACATCCGCCTGCAACTCATTCGTTTGGTGTTGGAAAACAGTTGCGATGGCTTTCACAAGCTCCTCCATCCCTCCATCCTACCTCATTCAGCGCCCCCAGGACAACCTCCTCCGCATCATGAAGGCTACGGCGAAAACATCATGCACAACAGGTGCTCCTCCTGTATGCTCAAGTGTTCAGCCACCGCCCTCACAGTCTGCAACTCGTACAGCTTGGCAAGTGGCAGTGTCAGACCTGCTATCATCTGACATGCGCTTCACCTGGAATCCGCCCCTCCCAAGGCCTATGTCTCTCAACTTTTGCGAAAGCAGCACTGCCTTCAACGAGGTCATGCCAGCCTTGTCTTCAGCACTAAGTGAACCTGACATGCCTGACACATCTCGCATGCGCGCAACCAGTTTTAGCAACTGTGCTTGGCCAATGGCACTTCGCAAGTCCATCGTAACCCTGAGGCTCTGAGACAGGAAGTAACGCATGTTCACCCAATCCCTGGCAACATCAGGGGCTGTGCCCTAGAGTCTCCAATCCAAGCACCGCAGCCGCTGTGGCCTCAGTGCACACGCAGATGTGAGAAATGTGAGAAATTAGGATCCGTTCTGGAGTGCATGCGCTGTGCATGCGTGGGCTCAAGGCACAGAGACGATGCTCCAGTGCCGAGCAGGGCTCCACCGCAGGACCCTCCAGGCCGTCCAGGTGCACCTGAGCAAACCAAGATGCAGTCTGTGATCCAGGTGAATCTATACTCTCAACATGAAAGCTCAATCAACTTCCTACCAAGACTCTGCAAGACCACAAGTGCTTCATCAGCCCTTGTCAACTCCCTTGCCCAAGGCCTCGGAGCAGCTCTCCGCCAGTAGCCGAGCTTTGTCGATCTTGCGTGGAGCAATGCCGCTCTCCACATCTCTCCGTATCTCTCCACATGTCCTACTTCTGAAGATGTCCGCAAAGAAAGACAAAGTGTGATCCAACAACATCCGTAGCGTCGCCTTGCCATTGGGAGTTAACGGAAATGTTTCCAGGGATGCAATCCTGCCGTAGCTTTGTATCCAGCAGGTCGGGGATGAATCGGGCAACAATTGCATCTAAATCAAGTCATCTTTCGGGCCTGGTCGGAACCATGTATTGGGGCCTCAACCAACCAAGACAAATCCAACAACCAGCAGCGAAACAAGACGCCAGCGTCTGCCGTAGCTTTCTTCTAGGGTGATAACAGCGTTTTCAGCAGCTCCGCTCGCAAGGTTTTTGGGGACAAGCTTCTGGGTGTGACCTCAGCCACGGGCCAAGCCCGTGCGTAAACAGCCAAAAACCCGATTGCCTAAGGTTGCAACCCAGGCCCAAAGACCATCCTGCACATCAGCAGAAAGACGTCTGGCTCAGCAGCTCAATAGGTCACGCCAACCATTTCGGGACTACGCTTGCAACGGCATTGACCCTGCAAAAGTCTTTGGCTGCATTGACCGCCACAGCCACAGCCTGCAAGCTGTTTGCTGAAACTGACCTCTACCCAGCTCACTGAATGCACAATACACAACGGTGGCACATTAATGATGCATATCACAATTTTCAAAAGAGTGTGGTACGCCGTGGCGGCGTGTATTTCCCGTGAAAACACGCATTTTTTGGGTGTTTTCAGTATCTGCAGTGTGTTACGCCCTGGGGGCCAATCTTTCTTGTTCTCCTACTCTTGCCTTGGGGAGCTTCCTGCGAGACTCCCAAGAGCCTCTCTTGTATATTTCCTATTTTCTAACGCATGCTTAATATCATGAATGCGAGGATACTAGCCTTCAAGAACTTTTTTTAAGATACTTGAAAGGGTAACCCTTATAGTGACATAAAAAGTACATACAACTATGAAATGCTTCAAATTTACGCTATTTTACGAACCCCACAAACGTGGGCCCTCAGGGCGTAGTTTTCTGATATTTTAAAATGCTACATTTGCACCTCCCGCGATATTACATTTTTTCTGTCATGTCTACAAATTTCTCTAGAGTGTAACGCATTACGGGCCCCATATTTTACAGTCAAAAGCGCATTTTCTAGTGATTTTATATGGTTAGCAGCAAGAAAGCAACGATTATCATCCATCATACA